TATACATATATATATATAATAGGTGAATGACCACAATATAGCAAGAAATATAAAAACTCTTACCATCCAGCAGCTTCGATTCATCATTTGTGATGCTCATTCTCTGCGTGATGACGTACTCGGGGCACGAAGTAAACCTCTTATATTTCTTTCTGTCCCTTCTCTCTCTTTTCCCGTTCACGCTCACTTCAGAGCTGACACCACTAGACGCATCGGAGGTAGAACTGTCCGTCTTTTTTATGCTTCCATTATCAGCGTCCTCTTTTGTACCTCCATCTACTTCATCCGCCCCTCCTTCAATCACTTCTTTTTTCTTTCCTGTCCAAAGCTCTGGACTTTTTACGCTTCTCTCCTTCTCCCCACTTTGTGTACTGTGGTCCAAGGAAGGGCACGAGCTAAATTTGTCTTTGACGTCATCATAAAAGACTTTGTCTTGTTCTGGAGAACTGAGGTTGCTGTAGTCTATATATTCACTGGTGGAAGACCGTCTCTTCCGCTGTCTCATGTTGATCTGGCCCGGTCTGGGGGTGGAAGACGATGAGTTCAGGGACGCCTCAGACCTGGGCAGACTGTTTGTGTTGGAAAAGTCTAACATATTGTCAGAATACCCCCTCGGTCGCAATTGAACTTCCGACGTATCGATATGTTCAGCCTTTGAATTGTCTCCCTTGTCCTTCAACTCCCGTTTCGTGCCGGACTCGGAAAAGTTACTGGACTCGATATTTTCTCTTTTTCCGGCGTGGTCAGGTCTGGAGTTGTCTTTGTGGAATTCTGACATCTCCATTTCTGCGTTGTCGCTCTCAACGCGCTTCTTTGATCGATGTAACCGTTTCTTCTGATTTTGATCTTTCCGCGAACTCTGAACACTTGGTTGTTCTGACATCATTGGACCGTTTTGACCATAGTTTGTAGTCACGTGGGAGCCGGCAGCAGACGGTTGGGAGTTGTCTTGCGTCTCGGCGTGGCTGCTTTCCTCGTCTGTGGAACAGTGCAATTGACGATGGATGCAGACTACAAACTTTCTTGACATCTATTTTCATGCACAGGCAGATTTTTAAGAAAAAGAGGGGGGAAGGGGGGGGGGCGTTGCATTCTGATCCCCTTTTTAAAAATGGCAATAAATAAGTAATATCAATGAAAGAATGAATAATAAGTCGAACAACGGGTGAACATATAATGGAGACAGGAGTTTAAAAACATGAAGTGAAATATTACTTGATTGTTTGTTTGTTTGTTTTATTACTAAGTATTTATATTCATTTAAGTACTTAAGCGAAGAGACCACAAAAACACTGGTAACATCTCTTATCCTATCTAGATTAGACTATTGTAACTCACTCCTGGCAGGTCTGAACAACAAATATTTGAATCGTTTACAAGTAATTCAAAACAATGCCGCTAGACTGATAACAAGATCTAAAAAACGAGACCATGTC